AGCATTCCAGACCAAATTATTATTCACGTATGGATTACATATTGAGATTACTCCGATGACCTGACTTAATGCTTCTTGACAGGGCATTTTATTTAAATTTCCTCTCATTTAAAAGGCTATAGCAGCAGTAGTTCCAATATAAATCAGGTTCCTTTTTTAAAAAAATCTTGTCTATTGTTCGAGATAATCCAAATTCAGGGCCTATTATTTGGAAAGGAAAGATTCACATTTGGTGAGAGATTACCTAAACTGTTAGCCAGGAACTCCAGCATGTACCCAAGATGACAATACTAAATGTGGAGAATTCAAACAGAGTCTTGCTTTGTACATTTTTAATTACATTCAGCACATCTGCAAGTATTTTCAATACTGGTTTGTCACAGCTGATGAGATATATTATATCCCATATTCTTATTAGATCTGTTTATATCCATTGACCTGAATACCATCTACCACCCAGTTAGATGGCCTATCCCTAACACCCGGAACAAACAGATGAGACAAACCAATCAAATGGAGACAACAGCACTCCCAAGAACCAACTGATTGGTGATTGGAGGTTTCCTGTAACATGTCAATCAAGCCCCCTCTCCCCCAAGTTCAGATCTGATGCAGACTACAAGTAGCGCAAGGCAACCCTCTCTTCTGAATTGTTGCACTGAGGAAGCCTTGCAGAGGCACAAGGTGAAACATCTGCATAAAACCTGATTAGTACTTAAGAATTCATCTCCCAAAACCTGGAGAACCCAAAAGTAAGGTATTAGGGCTACCTCTAATCCAAGAAATTCATAAAAACTATCTGGCTGTTCCAGTTTGGCCAAAGGAAAAAATCCTTTCATTCTCCCAATCATTTGGAAATGACTACCCCCAATAAAAATGATAAACCAGTGAAATTATTGGGAAAAACAGATAGCTTGTTCAGATGAAGGACCAAATTATATGTATACATGAACAAAATGACTCACCTAATTGGTACATTTCATTTACATTTCAAGCAAAACAGTACAATAGTACAGTGTTATTCTACAGGATAACAAAACTGAATTAAGATATATATGTTGATATCTCAACAGTTTTATATTTACATAAAACAAGGATCTCACATTCTCCCAAGTGGAACAGTTTTTTGAATTCATCCTCAGCTTAGATGTTTCAGTTCTCAATCTGCACAGAAGCGTCTTTTTCTTTTTCTTTCCACCACTTGGCAAATCATAGCAAAATCATTAAGAGATCCTACTTACTCTTGTATGGGTGCGAATGTGCATTTTTAATCCATCATTCTTGCTGAAAGCTTTGTCACAGTAGGGGCACTGATAAGGGCGTTCACCTGAAAAGAAGCAAAATTGCTCTTTGTTAATACATTTTATCTTATGGCATACATAGGACTTTTCAAATGATCTCCCAAAGAGGCAGTGATCAAGCCCTAAATTGCTTAGCTATGGCATTATTGTTACATGATGTTTTCAAACCATGACTTGGGTCTAATGTTGCCTGAAGAAAAAGAAGAAGATCAAAGTAGAACAGCATGTGTATTTTGTAAGAGAGAAATCTTTCTGTGGGCAACTGTTTACACAAAGAAGGTCTTGTTACCATGGACTGCCAAATGCATGGGAAAGATCCAGCTGACTGGCACTATTTACACATGCACCTTGCATTGCATAACTGTACCATATTGAAATGATTTTCATGGGACAGCTTTTGTATGTGTGGGAGACCAGAGACTAAAGAATCCCAAGCTTTAAGGCAACTATCCATGAAATCATAAACAGCAGTAAATGTGTTAAGTCGCACAGAGTTGTTTTTGTTGCAAAAGGCCAATGCAGCTACCTCTCTGGAAAAATAACAAAATCAAACAAAACAAAATCAAAAGGATGACAATGCTGTCTTAACAAATTTTGAACAATCTACCCCCTATTCTAGCAACAACTGTGCTGGTCTAAATGTCTTTTATTGTGCTCAATTTGTAGCTATTTTTTTATACATGCTGTTCCTGTTTGGTAAGCTGTGTTTGCTGGGATGGTACATAGACCATCATGAAAAAAAATATGGGAGGATACATAGATCCTCTTAATTAAACCTAAAAACATCCATATTTGAGTAAAACAACCTGGTGAACTTTCAGTGTATGGCTAATGATCAGCTTAATGAAAAATCATGCCAGAAACATGACTAATGAAAAAGTCATGCAACAATGAACAGAAAGATATTCATTTCAGGCTAGCACTATTGTGTCAAAGATGGGCTGGGAGGATATGTCAAATGAGACACAGACACCAATAGCTGAACTACTTATTTGGTGGATGAAGGTACTGTGGGAAGGCCAGTATCTGAAGATAATGTTCTTAAAAACTAAAAAAGAATAACCAGTCCCAATATCTGTTTTCCAAAATAGGTCTAATAATTTAATAATGCTGATTTCAACCAACTTAAAATTGCTGATCTAAATATATTGTTCTCCTTAATATTATAAAAAGTTATAATTAATTCAACCCATTAGTCAGTCTTCTCTCCAGCACTGTATCCTAGCTCCTAACATCTTCCTAGCTGCTTTCATTTTGAGAATGCAGCTGGCCATCTACATCTTACACGTTCACCAAGGGATAAACAGGTAAAGTACCTTATAGACTCTACTGTTTTAATTATTTTTAGTAGAAATAATTAGGCAGGTTATAAGTTTGATTTTTCTTTATATGTGTAATAACTGAACAATTGTTAAGCAAATGAAAGTAACTATTGTAAGTCAGATCTTGTGGGTGTGAGTAATGCATATGATGCTAAGTGAGAGACTGGGATGAAAAAGTGAACTGCAGTCCACAAAATGAATGAACCAACTCTGGATGGTAGGATTCAAACAATAATTGTTCTTAATAAATGAAGTTGGGCTGATGTGAAGATGTGCTTCAGTCCAGAGGATCTATTGCAACTTCTACTCAGGTATCAGTAATGGTTTGGTTGGCTCTGCAGTGTAATGATCCAAAGGCAGGAGTAGTATTTTGTCCCATTTGTCCAGTGGCAAATTACATCAATTCAAGAATTACGGGAATAGCAACACTCTGTGAAGAAATTTTGGCCACTATGCCACGAGCACCAGTTTTACCTAAGAACATTTATACCAGTGTTTCTTAAAGTGTGGTCCTAGGAACCCTGGGGGTCTCCCAAGACCCTCTCAGGGGGTCCATGAAATCAAAATTATTTACCAGCCTGGTTTGAAAAATAATGCAATATTAATATCCCATCAAGCAATTGTGAGAAGCGGTAGTGGCAGTGAATGTGTCAATTTTAATTTTTAATATGGTAAATATCTATAAAGACAATCCATGCAAACAAAAGCTCTTTGGGGGTCCTCCATAATTTTTAAAAGTCTGAAGGGGTCCTGAGAGAAAAAAGTTTAAGAAACACTGGTTTATGCTATTCTACCCAAGTTAGTATAATTTAGAGTCTAACATGGTAGCCAACATTCTGTTGCCTGAATCCCACCAGTTCACAGATACATGTATTCAGGATGTGCCATGTTTATGGACAACCATTAAATGTTCCCAAAATACATTGTGTACTCTTGACCCCACAGTTATTCATCATTGCAATCATATTGGTGTCCCTATACAATTTAATTACCTCAACCAATTGTATCCATGTGTCTCACTTAATTAAAATAAATCAATGATTTGATTTGATTTAATTTAATTTAATTTAAGTCAAATGAATTTGATTTAAATCATGAATTCTGCTACTGTTCCTACTGAGTAACATCTAGAAATTCTTTTTATTGGAGCCTGCCAGATACATGGAGTTAGGCCTACCACATCCAAGCCACAGAAATCTAGATGACCACAAGATGGAAGCAACCATTCAACATTTGGGAGTGATCATTTATAAAGACCGTGGGGACATCTCTCTGATGAAATGATGGATTATTTGCATTGTACTAAACTAAGGGGTTAACTAGAGAGGCATAAAGTTAAGAAAACTAAAAGGAGAAAGAAGTGGAGGAGGAAGGCAGTAAAAAGAGAGAAAGAGAAGAGATACTACAGTGACCCTTATAAACATAAACTATCACTCTATAAATAAGCATAGGTCTTTGTTGATGTATTTCTAACAGAAACAACTTACTTCCCATATTGTTCATGCAATGTTATTGTTAATAAAAGCTGTAACTGATTATAAACAACTGGTCCTCCAAGTAATTAAGTTAGAATTTAATACTCCTCCTTCTCCTCCCAGCCACCTAAAATGTTATGCTATAAAGGAAAGAACTAATTAGAGAGAGAACAATTACAAAATGGGAGCAGTAAGATTTTAAACTGTATCCATCTTCAAAATAATCTTATAGTCAAAGAAATTATTCCATCCCTGGCCAAATAAAGCTGGGTTTGCCACCATCTCTACCATAAAAAAGAAGAAAACAAAAACAAAACTGGAAAAAGACTGCTTCTTTGAAAGGAACTATCAGCTCCACTTCACAATTCATATTATACAGAGGTGAACAGCCTGAAGTTTCAGGGCCTGAAAGCCTTTGATGTGGCCTCTAGAATTCCTCTGAAAGTTCTTACCAAAGGGGAAAATCATTAAATGTATGAGTGGATAATTATGTTAAGTATATTGAATTAATATAATTTAAATGGAAATTACTTTAAATAAGAACAAATTTAGGATTCTTTTTCTGGTTCCATTGCCTTGCAGATATATAACCCCAACACATACTCCATTCAGCTCTTGAACGGGAAAAAAAAGTTGTCTCTCCTGATCTAATAGGTTATAAAGCATTTAATTCACTCAGCAATGGCAGATAAGACAAGAGGCTTTACAGAAAATAGGGATTTTGTAGAAGGCTTGACCTTCCCTCAATCCCTTTCTTTCTTTTTCCTTGAAATTTCACTTTGTTTTTCTTCAAGACAGCTTGAAAAGACTACAAACAAATCAAGAATAATATAACTACATACAGGGTAAAACTATATAAAAACAATATACAGGTAGTTCCTGGGTTAACACCCAGATAATGGACAACCCATAGTTAAGAAGAGAGCCTATTGTAGCAAAATTCGAGTTAAATATACAATGGTTCGAGTTAATTACACAATACTACTTATACAGTATTATA